ATTATCAATCTATTTTTTAATTTTAAAATTATTTTTAATTTAGTATAACCAAATAAATTTTTGTTTTGTTTTGAAAAACAATTCTAAAATTGTGTTATAAAACAATTTTTAAAAATAAAAAATGAAAATAGAAAGCAAATAGGTCTAAGTTCCATTATTTCTATCGTCGCTGCTGGTAAAAGATCATATAAGCAAGGGCTTCTATGTTGATTCTGCAAATATTAATAATGATAAACAAAATCGGCAAAAACACATAAAACAAATAATATAAACAAACAGCCAATAAATAAGGGTTAATTGCTAACAGTGAGCAAAACCAAACAAAACCGACCACATTAAACTAATCTAATAAAACCAATCATTAATGAGGCTTGATTTAGTTTTGTAAATTTGAAAACTGAGTAGTTTGATTTAAGTTTTGGTTCTTTTCCCCTTTGAAACCTTAACTAAATATGAACCAAAGAGGAAGAAGGCTTACTAAACCCCATAGCAAAGCTTCAAAGCCATTTTTTAACCTCCCATTTGTATAAAAGCATCAACCTTTTTTGTTTCATCCACATTTTTAAAATAACCACAATACGAACCCCTCTGTTTTCTCTATTTTAGCCATGCTTTTCTACCATAATATGAAACTCTTTATTAACATTGTCCCATGTTTATCCCTGAGCACGTCATCTTCTACAATTTCATGTCCATAACCATCAACAAACAAGCCAATACGAGATAATAATTCAGTGCACTTCCATTCACAGGTCAATGCATTTTTTGAGCAAACAAGAAGCCCAAAACCAAGTTATGTGCATAAGCAGCATAATGCACGATATAATAATAACTATTTAAATCAAACTCTTCAACCCCGTCAAAGAATTTAGAAAAAATAGGTGAGACTTTACATCAGCAATATCAACGATAGAAATATGAGCCACAAGATAATAAAATCCTCAAAAAAAAAAAAATCTAGCACAAACTAGCTAACTAGGGAAGTGCAGTTGATTCCTTATCTAGTCTTGCTCTAGAATAAAGTGTAGAGTCCTTCTTAATTGCAGCATCACAAGAAGTTTTCAAACACCAGTGCTATATTTCGCTTCCCACTAATAAACTTCGTATTTTTAGAAGACTGGCATCATGTCAAGAACAATTTTGTTATGTCTTTTACTTCAATTAGTTTTCCTTATTTGATCCGCAAAGTCCATCCCTCATGATACCCAAACCATCAAGTTCTTTAAATTTGCAAATTCCTTCTACCTCATCAGATAATGCATCTTGTTGCGACCCCATCTTGTAAGTAAACAAGCAAGTAAATCAAAACATAACATGCAAATTAAGTGATGATATGAAATTTTTAAAAGGAAAAAATAGGGAGATCATGTGTATAAAAAATTATAGAGCAAAATTGCTAATAGAAGGCAAGTGAGAATGTAGCAATGCAGAAATATGCAAGTAAATTATCCTAACCAGTATGTACTAACTTAACATTAGTACAATATATGTTTTTTTACAAAAAGCTACTTATATGGGACCTATAAGGCTTCTCAGTTTCATGGATAGAATGCTATTGAAAACGACGCAACAAAGTATTCAATAACTAGAGAGTTGGTCTAGAAATAAGAAATCCACATTTAATCAATGGATGCACATAAAAGTCATCAATTTTTGCGCATCTAAAATCTGCAGGCCCCATTGTTTTCACACTCAATGAACAAGCAATCACTGATCAAGCATTATGACAAACCATTCAACTCGAGCTTTAGTTGATAGTAGAAATTGAAGGATGAGGAGGGGAGAGATGGTGAACCTGAAATTGAGGCACGAAAAGAGAAGAGTTTTGCACTTGAAGCAAAAAAAAAATTGTTAAATATAGGTGGAGGAGCACTGCACAATACTTAAGCTATGACCCCACACGAGAAGGTCGACAATGGAGATCGAGTAAACCATGAGGTGTGGTGAAGGTTGAGGAAGACGCAGTAGAAGTGTTGGGGATTTTGGAAATTGGGATTCAATAGAAGCCAGAAGAACACATTCAAGTAAGGGAGCAACTTTGTCTTTTCACACAATCTTTAAAGTGCACCCAGGTCCCTTGAAACTTATTGGTAATAAAACAAATTCGAGGGACTAATTGGTGATTAAGTTTTTTCTATGAAACTTATACATAATTTTTCTTATATTTTTTACATTATATTAATCTCTACTTCTCCTTCTCCTCATCTTTATTTATCCTCATCATTATTTATCATTGAACTATCCATTGGAGTTTTTATGTGGTTGAGGCTTGAGAATAAAACCATGATTTCCATATAAGAAATATTGGGCTTCTTTGGCAACTTATTTTGTGAACAATTTTTAGCACTCTAAAAACAAAAAAAAAAGAAATATGTCTGATAATATATTTTTAAAAAATGTTTTGAAGAATAAAAAAAATCAAAGATTGTTTTGAATGATAGAAAAATAAAAATATCTTTTATTTGTTTTGGGATTATTGTTTTGAAGAACTAAAAAAAACAAAAAATACTTATTTTTATTATTTTTTGTTTTCAGAATATGATATACAAAATACTAAATTTTAGAATAATAAGAAAAAAATAACTTTTAACAAGCCCATTGTCTTGCGCTGTAAGCAAATAACCTTAGCTTGAGGCAAGACGATAAAAATGACATAGAGATCTTAAAAGTGTAATACTAATTAAAGATGGATTTTTATTTCCTGATAAAATAAAGTTGTTATTACTATTTTTGTGAAGTTAATGTCTATTTTTTTTAATTATAAGATTTTTCTTGATACAAAATTTTAACTTGATAGAGATAATGGCCTTAAGTTTTGTTCTTATATTATTGAATTTAACAGACATCTACCTGTCATTTTTTTTTTCTTTTGCAGCACAAATTGAGAAATGCAGAAGATTAAGCCAACCAAAACTAACAGGGAAAATTACTTTAAAGTTTCACTTAAGTCACATTGAATTATCATTTTTCTAAACTCAGTTATCAATAAATTTGAAAGTGATTAATTATCTTAAATGGGACTTGTGTATAATTCTCACAAACTAATAATGCAGGGTTTATCATTGAAGGAGGCATGTATGATTGTTCTGACATGGATTTGTCTGTTTTGCCCATCCCTTGCAAAGAACATAGACCTACATCAATTTCAATATACTCCTTCCAATATATTTCATAAATTATTAGGGAATGAGCTTTTCTTTTAGATTAAGAAAATAATTAAAGGTTTTTTTACAACTTTTCAAAATTAATTAAAGGTTAATTTTTTTTTTACAACTTTTCAGAAGTACTCTTTGATTGGCGTAGTTCATTAAGAAAAGAAAGTGATAATAGAAAAGGAATTAATTAATTTAAGAGCAAAGGAAACAACGGTATTTTAAAAATGAAATATAGACGTTTCATTAAAATTTATAAAAGTCCTGTATTAAGGATCAATAAATAGAATTAGAAAAAGTATAATATTGGAGAGGCTATATACTTCAAAATAGAAAAAAAGAAGTGGAATCATGTATCAGCAATATATAGTTCATGTTTTTTTTTAACCATTAGCAATATATTGTTCTTTTTATTTGTGTTAAGCATATTGTTCTTTTTATCTTACCTTTACTCTATATTGTCCATGATGACTTTGAAAAGTTAGAATTTTTATTAATTTTATAAATATATAATATATTGGTTGATATATGAAGTTACATTACAAAAAAGTCAAATATACATTATGCCTTCTATTAGGCTTTGTACTTCCCCTTATATTTCTTCATAGACTTCGCTGAGCTTCACTTATTGCTTTTATTTCTTTAACAAGTCCTTTAGGCAACAATAATATTAAATGAGTGCATTTTTTATTAACAAGTCAACTAGCATTGAATAACAAGTATCTTATATAACAATGATTATTAAATAAATATATTTTTCATTAATAAATCATTCAGTGTGAATAAAAAATACCTTAAATAACACTAACTATTTAATTCCATTTCTCCAACCGTATCTCCTCAAGTTTTATACATATTGCTTATACTTATAATAGCTCCTAGAAGAGCACTGAGACTCAGAAGAACTAAAATAGGGAACATCATCACAAAGTCTTTTAATTTTTATAAAATCCCATAAAATATATAAATTACCTCCAAGTTTTAAATATTTTATTTTAAATATATTTTATGTATTATTATTATTAAAATACTCTTATCCTACATTTTTAAAAAAAAACCATCCACCTCCAGAATTTTAGATAGGCACTGTTATAGGGTGGCTAGTCACCGTAACGCCTATATATATATATATATATATATATATATAAAAAACCGGTAAACCACTTAAACTTATTGATATAAGAATATATGTTATATATCCAATGATTTGTGTCTAGAAAGAAAATGACAAGTTTAAGAAAATGATAACTTGAATTTAAGAAAACTAAATCTTTTGAATATTTTCTTCATTCCTAGAGGATTGATAAACTCTTGTTGCTTCAAATGGATCCCATAACTTTCTATTGCAACCGTCAATTGGTTTGTTTGTGCAGCCTTCATAGGAAAATGCTAGAGACCTAGATATTTTGATTCTAGGAGTTCTAGAACTTTGTTTTTTAGATTTTTGTTTTGGTTTCTTATTGCTTTTTGTACTTGTTTTATATCTTAGGTTAATGATTATTTAAATTTGTGTGTATGTAAAAAACTTTTTAAAAGAGCCATCCTTAAATGAATCTAACATTGCTTGAATATAATTATTAATACTAAATGTCAAGTAATTATATAATTTTTTTCATTAAATTATTAATTGAAATAATTGAAGATTAAACATATGGTCTATATATAAATATATATAATTGAATATATTTTGCCAAATATATATATAATTGAATACTTTAAAAAAATAACAACATGCTAAAAAATGCAAACTGGGCCGATCGCTAACAGGGCCCAAAATTTCGGGTCACGGTTTAGTCCCGGGAAGTCATCTTGTATACCATCTTTGTTCTCATAACGCTATGTCCGACTCTTTCGAAGTTTTGCCGTGCCGCCTGCCTCCTACAAACTCGCTCCTCTTGCTTCCCTCCCTTCCGTTTCGTTTCTCTCTTTTTCTATATTCCTCAAACTTCAGCGTCGCAGATTTTGGTTGCTTATTTGCACTGATTCTCTTCCTTACTAATCGAATATGATTAGAGGAGGTAAAAGCTATGTGTCTGCACCTCCTGCCTTCTCCAATGATGCCAAGAGGCTTCTGGTTTGTACAGGCAACACCGTCTCAGTCTTCAGCACCTCCACGGGTTTACAGGTCCCATGCACCTCCATCATCACTTGTGCTTACTCCAAGCTCCAAAGAAAGCTGTTCAGTTTTTGAATTTTTCTTTGTTTAATGCCTAGGTATCGGCATTGGAAGGACATACGGCTCTTGTTACGTCGGTGATAGTGGAGCCAGCTTTGGGCCATGATAAAAAGATTTTATGCTACTGCTGGACTGCTTCACTTGACGGTACCATTCGGAAATGGGACTTTTCAACACCAGAATTACTGCAGACAGTTGATATTCAGCTACCAGTTTACTCCATGGTAACATTACTCTGCTTTCATTAAGTTAACGAGCTAAAACTTTCGCTGTGACTAATTTTTGGCCAGGCTATGCAATGGAAATCATAGAAAATAGCGCTATTGAAACTAATTCATCTGTTTGATACAAAAAAGAATAAAGAGGAGCTAGTAAATGTATTTTTGGATGGTAAACAGCTAGGAAAATATTTGTTGTGCCTTGTAAGTTAATAAGGAATACAACCCTTTCTGGCTGTATATTTTGGAAACCAAATGATTATATCACCTTATTATGCTCACTTTCTCATGCATGTTTATGAAAATTGAATGGTGCTGACTCTATTTTTGAATAAATTGTAAACCTTTTAGGTGATACCTTCATATTTATTAAGTCAGCCAGAAGAGAACAATGCAAAGGCACTTGATACTTTTGCTTATGTGTCCGTTGAAGATAAAAAGGCAGCAGACAACCGGTCCAAAGCTCCGTGTGGACGGATCAGGAAGTGTAATTTGACAAAGTCCCAGATGAGCAAACTAACTTTGAAAGAGGTAAATTCTGAAAGTAAACCTGCTTCCTGTTTTATAGACATCCTTACACTTCTAAAGGGTGTTAGAAATATCATAGCCAGATGTTGAATGCCAGTGGCCTAGTACCTCAATGACGCCATGCACCCCCTCAAAAGAGGGAGGTTGCAAGTTCTACCCCTAGGTGGGCATACCCCTTTGCGGGTGTGTGGTGTTTCCTAGCCTACGAGGAAGGGCTGTAATGAGCTGGGTGTGTGTGTAATTGTCCCTTTCCATAAAAAAATAAAAAATAGAAAGATGATTGCTAAATTATGCAAAGTTTATTTAAATGGTTGCATCATACATGGGACGGCTATATAGTCTTGTCCATATATTAAAGAATTATATTTAGTGGGAAATGGTTGATACTGTGGTTAAATGCATTGAAATTGTTGAGTATTGTTTAAAATCTTAGTGCCCAAAGTCTTACTGATGCTTGTTGTTTATGTTCTTGTACTTTCTTAGTGCACTCTAAGTTTGATGGCATAGCTACTTTCTTCAGAACTATCATTGACAAATATTTGATGAAAAGATTGAATTGTGTGAAGTAAAACAAAGAAACTTGTTTGTTTCCCAACCACTGCTGTTACCAAACCGTGTAACATTAGACATGAGGGACTGATGGAGAGCAGAAAAGGTGGAACTGATGGTCCGACAAAGGAACAGAAAGTAAACACAAAGGAACATAAAATTGGAGGAGGAAAATAAGGGAATAATTGTGATAAGGTAGGAGGGAGCAGCTAAAGATTTATTGACAGGGGTATGTAAAGAGAAGAACTGAGAAGGAAAGGGAAGGAGAATTTGGATCTTGTTTTGGTGGGAGAGAGCACACCTTTTGAAAGTTGGCATCCATGAGTTATTTGTTATCATTCTGTTGTTGCTGAGCATACATGTTCTGTGTTTGTGTTGCTTTAGGTTTTTTGAAGCTGGTGATAATGAGTGGTGATATGTTGGTGTGGGGCTTTTTTTTTTTTTTGGAGGGGGGTTGAGGGCTTTTGACATCCAATTGTGTTGAGCTGAACTTTGCTGTTTCTAATGTGTGACAGTGGGTGAGTTGGATGCTATAAACTCTGCAAAGACTATTTTCTGTCTCAATATCAGTGCATCACTGTTTTGGCAACCCTTGTGTTATTTCAGCATTATATAGCACATTTGATGTTTTTGTTCTGATAGAGATTGTGTGGGCTCTATCTGTTTTCCCACATTTAAGGCGGTGGGATTCACATATTAGCAGTGCGCATCCAACATCATTTGTTGCTGTTATGATACTATCAGTTTAGTCACCTTTAATGTTAGAAAAAGTTGATGTGATTAAGTTCCTAGTTTTTAGTCGAAAGACTTCTTGCTTTAACTCATGGATGATTCTTAGTTGAGAGTGGTGCTAAGCTAAAATCCGATATCATTGTTACAATATAATAAATGTATTTTCTTGGTGTCTTTTTTTTACCATATATTTTGTTAAACACAGTTCTACCAGCGTTTGATTTTGTTTTAGCTTCATGGAATCAAAGGATTTTTTTCCACCTCATAAGTTACTAGCTGCTTAACATGTTTTGGATTTAACTGGATTAGTGGGAGTGATAAACAGAGATAATGATGTCAGATACTTAATAGGTTTTCTTGCTGTGCATGAAGAGAAAGAGGTGATATGCTTAAAAAAAAAAAAAAATCTGTGTGATAGAAAGAGGTGGATGGGAAGGAAAGATAAGTTTTCCTGGAGCATTATACTGATTTTTTTGCTTGTTTTACAAGCTTTATTGTTTAATGATGATTGTGATAGTGATATTTAGAGCTCTATTAGCTAAAATAATATTTTGTTGTACTGGAATTCATTCAAATCATTTAATCCTTTTTTAATCTTAAACTTTATGAGAATAATAATGTCAATCACACCAAATTTGGTCAAAATAACACACCTTTTCATGGGTTCTATTGGATTACTGCTTGGGTGTCGAAACTCAAAATCAATTACCTATGTTGGTGATCTGCTTGCACAAGAGGTTTTTCATTTTTTAGTGAGTGGTGAGCCAACTTTTTTGTGATTAGAATTGCTGATGTCTCATGCGAAGATGTAATTTTTTTAATTATCCATTGTTATTATTTAGGTGCATGACTGTTTGGTCACTTTTTTAACAGACTAAAAGGCCAGAATTGTTAATCACTAGTCCTTCAGGAACATTTTTGGGCATTAAAAACAAGCGCAGGCTTCATATATGGAAAGTTCCTACAGTGGACTCCAATTCTGTCGCATCAAAGAATATTACTCTGCATCATACAAAGACCTTGACATGTCTTGCATTCCACCCAATAGAGAGAATTGTAGCTGCAGGTGATGAATCTGGAAGAATTTTAATTTGGAGAGGATTTGGTGTGCATAAATTTTTGGTTAGTAGTGGAATAATGAATAGAAGATCAGTGGATGATGAGGAAGAAAAACCTGGGGTCAGGGACAATGATGATGCTGAATCATGTTCTACTTGGCATTGGCACCCTTCAGGAGTGATGTTCCTCTCTTTTTCTTCAGATGGAGCTTATTTGTATTCAGGTATGTATCTCGATTTTGTGTCATGATGGTAAAGGGTACTTCCTATGTATGGAAAAGTTTTATGGATTTTTTTTAATATTGAATCAAGTAGCTTGTTGTATTATTTGCCAGATTTAGGTTCCCAAAATCATTGAATCTAATGCAAGCTACTTCTCCGATGGCATGTCCTATGTTGTTTGATGGTTTACATCAAAACAGCTGCAGCCATTAGGCACTACATTTGACTTTGTAAATGTCTCTGAGTTTCAAAGTTTTTTCATAGTTATTCAAGTACTGAATAAATTTTTCTATACAGAAGTAATGCAAATTCTTTTGTTTAGCTAGATGTTCATCAAAAAGTATAATTTTATGTTTTTACTGCTTTGATTTCTATAAGGTGGGAAGGAAGGAGTCCTTGTGGTGTGGCAGTTGGACACAGGAAAGAAGAAATTCTTACCAAGAATTGGATCTCCACTTCTGTATTTCATAGATTCTCCAGATCCTTCACTTTCCTCTGTAAGGAAAAACTTGTTTACAGTAGAACATATAATTGGATGTTAAGTAGCTGATCATACTTGCTTGCTAATTGAGGGTCTTCAGATATCATGTGCAGATAATCAGATTCATATCCTGAAGATGCCTTCCATGGAAATATTGAGGTCAATTTCAGGGATTAAGGTTAGCTCCTATGATTGTTCTCTAGTATTTGACTATTTGTTTCTTGACTATGTTCTAATGGATTGAAATGCTGCCAATGCTGATTATCAGACAATGTTATATACTTTTTTGAGAAGTTACTTTTCCTGGACCACAATATATGTCATAATTAACTAATTCACAGCTTATGAATAATGTTAGTTGAAACCTTAAATTCATAAAAATGTCCACATTTTTTCATTTATACCTTTATTAAATATCTTATATAAGAACCTTGATAATAGTAATTAAAATTTCAATATATGATTTTTTTCAGAAAGTGTAATAAATGAAGTAGGGATATAGTTGAAAAAATATATATAAAAGTTATCAAATAACTTATATTTTGGATCAAGTAAGGTTTTTAAAAGATACCTTATATTGCGGTCTAGAGAAAGTAAGAATTTTGGAAAATTATTATGGACCTGTGACTATGAAGAGCTACAGACCACATGTTCATTAGTAGGCAAACAATTTATTTTGAATTGATAATGCATGACGCAAAAGTTGATCTTAGTTATTTTATTAATGACGTTGTTGGGGATTTAAGCATAGGAATATGTTATGCTTAATTGAATTGAGTTCATTTTGAGAAATTTATTATTTTTATACGTTGGTTGCTTAAATCTTCCTTAAAGATACTATATTTTCCTCTTCCAATTCTACCACCAACCCATGTGCAAATTTTCCTCAGTTAATTTGGATTTGCATACAGGAAGATCCTGTACCTTTCAAAATCCATATTTGAATTGTATTGGTTGATTTTTGAAATCACTACTGCATCAAAAGGAAGTTGGTAGTGCTAGTAGTTAGAGTGAGAACTGAAGCTATAATTTTGATCATCTTAACTTAAACTTGCTCACAATACGCATATATTTGTATATAATGACTAGCATTAACACTAGACTTGGGCCCAAGCTCATATCACATGTACACAAAAGCCCATATCACTTATAGTCCAATAGGTAATTATAGTCGCATTGACTGAAACAGTGTCATTTCAACTTCAGAATAACCCTATAGAAGATGAGAAGAAAAAGAAAACATTTTGTGCCTATTTACATGTTGCCAATTTGTTTCCATTAAAAATTATATATTTATGTTCACATTTGTTGAAATTGATAACTTGATTCAACCTCTATGCTTACTTTTCAGCCCCCTTTATCTTCTAAAGACATATGTGGAGGTCTTACTGGCAGGCCTGCCTTTGACTGCAATTCTGGGTTAGTTGCTGTACAAACAGATAACTACACCATCCAATTCTACAGCTTGTTTGCTGATCGTGGACTTTATGAGGTAATAGTGTTTCAAGTTTTCCAGATTGAACTTCTTGAAATGGGGTTTTTATATTTTTTTTGCTTAGTGTTGTTATCGCTTGATTTAGATTAAATTATTTAATGTTGACAAACCAAGGCCGGTAAATGAGTTTGTTAAAAATTGTTGAAATTGTTTTGTTGAGGATTTTTGTAGCAGATGGCTTCTTGCCTCTACCTGTATGTACTATGTACTTGGAAGGAGTATCAGTTGCTTTGGTTGTGCTGAGTATCTCTGCTTTTTCCTCCTCCTCCTCACTGATTCTTTTTAAACCTTGTCTTGAAAAGGAGAAGAATATTAGTAAAGCATTTTGGTTGACCCTACCACATTTCTCCCCTGGTTGTGTCCCTGTCAAGAATCTTTGGTTTTAGCTTCTTTCTTCTCGGTCATTTTTACCCTGCAATTTTTTAAATCAGACATTTTTGCATTTACTATCTGTACGTTATATCAAAATCATTCCTTGACAATTTTCAGATACATTTTAGTATGCTGTGAGCAAATTTTATATTGCTTTGGGTCTGGGTTTTAATTTCTGAATTAATTTAGAATTACTTTTAAGGTGCAACAACATGCCATCATTAGCATAGAAAAAACCCGTATAGGAATATATTCTGTAGGGTGTTAATATTTCCTGATTTTGCAGGTTCAAGTCTGTGAAAGAAACCATCAGCCAGGTGATGAAGTCACGGTATGTGAAGTTGGTTCTAAAGCTGCAATTTGTTCTAGCATAATATAATGACTTTTTATAATTATACTCAATGTTGTTGTAAGTTAATATATACTTTATCAGAAATTGAATGGTTGTCTTACTATTATTGTGTTATGGTTACAGGTGGTAGTGACCTTGGTGGAGCTCTGTCTTGATGGTTCTATAATGGGAACTGTTGAAGTTAAGCTCCCTGAAGAAGATATAGGAGGTCTAATTTGTTTGAAGTTTTGGGAATTGGATTCAGATGACAAAAGATTTTCTGTGTCCACCCTTATTTATGAACCTCACAGGTTTGCCCCTTGATTTTTGTAAAAACTAAAGTGAAAAGTCCGAACTAAGTTTATATATGTTTTGTCCGTGTCTGAGTACTAAATGAAGACATAAAACTATTTCAGTACTGTTTATGTGTTAATGCGGTTGGTATGCTATCCTATGACTCTTAAAGAGTTGTACTGCTTTTTTAAGCTGAAATTTGGTGCATAATGTCACTCGATATAAAGTGAAGTTGATGGTTTGTTTGTTGACAGGGATGCTCAAGTATCTGCTATTGCTTTCCATCCTACTCGTCACATGGCTGTCAGCTCATCTTATGGAGGGGATTTCAAGGTATTTGGGGAAAGTTGCTATTGTTGCTGAAGATTTGCTTTGACGATAATTATATATCTGATTTACATGTTTCAGATATGGGTTAGCACGGATGAAATCAAGCGGAAAGGCCAAATGAGCCCAAACTCTGGTTGGATGTGCCATGCAGTTGGGTCATATAAGTATGGTTTTACTCTATTTGCTAGTACTCCTAATTTGCTTGTGGAAGTCAAAGAGATTCTTTCTTGCCTGGTTGATTGTGTATCTGCATTTGGATGTTTGAGACAAGGCAAAAGCATTACTCTGTCTGCTCTGCCTTTCTGGGATATTAAAAAAAAATAATAATAACCCTTATGTCTTCAAATAGACAAATAGGTATGTTGGCCCATTTGGTTTCTTCTTGCTGTGTTTTTTTTTTTTTGTTTGGGTTCATCGTCAGAGGGCTACAGCTGAGTTGCAGAGCCATTTTGTTTATGTTGGGGAAGGTGCTTTTGTTCTCTGTTCTTACACTTTTTTTCTATTTTCTTATCTCTGTAAAAATCTCTGTTTCTATTGTTTCTCAAGTAAATAATGAGTTGACTATTTAAGTAAGATGGCTATCGAACTTTTTGACAAAATTGGATAAGTAAAACACCCAGTATTATGAGAACTAAAACGGATTGGCCGGTTTGACTGGTTGAATTGGGATTCAGTCTCAAGTGATGTGTAAAACACCCAGTATTTTGAGCACTGAACTTTATTGACTGGTCGAACTGGTTGAATTGGGAATCAGTCTCAGGTTCAGTCCAGTCTTGACAGGAAATCGACCCGCCAAAGAAACAGTCACATTCTTTTTATTTGTTATTTTTTATTTAAATTTTAATCCATATTTTTAAACTATAATTTATATATATCTATACCTAATAAGCATTGGGATATGAAAAAAAAGTGAACAACTATGCAAGAAATATGCATGTATGTATATATTCTAAAGTTGTAAATTATAGATTATGAAATAAGTATCCATATTTTGAATGAAGACAATGGAGTATTGATGGATATTACTTTTTTCTATTATATATATATATATATATATATTTTGGGATTTAAACATTCATTTTTGTTATTATGGATAATTATTTCTTTTTATTTTAAGTTTATAGTATTTAAACTATCTCAATTTCTTTATGAATGGTTCAATCATGTTTCAAACTACAATCCTACCGTGGAACCATGAATCAATGTCTTGGCCGGTTTAATGACCAATTTGGTTTTCTTAACATTGAAAACACCTAATGCATTTGAAGTTGATTCCTATGCGGAATCTGTATGTTTATTATTGTTTTTGGAGTTTTGATTATCCTTTATTATTATCTTTAAGAGTCTGTCTTGTAGTTTCTATCTTTAGAGTTCAGATTATTATAAACGAGGACAGAGATTGCCACCATGTGTGTGCAAGCCTCATTACTCACCATGTTTCTATTCTCGAATTTTCTTGTTATCTATTCCATAGTTACCTTGAGCTTCATCCACGGCTCATATCTTGCTTTGGCCCCAATCTCTAATGTAGCTTCTGCCTATATTACACACCTTTTTCACAGACCTGAAATATAGAACTCATTTTGGAATTTTCACCATAAATCATTTTCAAAGACCTCTAATCAGTGCAAAAATAACGTTGGGATACCCTCACATTAGATGCAAAAACGCTGCTTATTTGCCTTGTCATGCTCATGCACTTGCTTGTGGGGGTGCATGCAGCACTGTTGGATCTAAATCATGGACTCATTGGTTATTTCTTTGGGTCTTTGGTCTTGATCATTTGTAAGAATGTTTTGTCCTAGTTGCATTTGCATTTTGTCTATTTTCAAACCTAAGTTTCAAGAAATTTTGAAGTTACTTTTTTATTTTTTTTGGAATGTAAGATGTAGAGTACTTGAGACAGTTAGTTTGTTCTTTATTGTGATGAGTTGATGTTGTGGATAGATCAATTGGTAACCAATTGATTGTTGTTAATGAAAATAGATTTCATATACGAACTGTTTGAAGATGATTGGTGATCGTAATGTCATAATTTCTGCATGATTTTATTGTAGGATAGGATTTCTTTTATTTATTGTAGTTTATAGCTTTAGGCAATTTTTGCTTTTTTTTTTTTTTGGTCTTTTAAAGGATTCTGATCAGTACTCTAGTGGGATGAAACCTTCACACAAAAGCTAACAATTGAGGTTAGAGGCCGTAAAACATTCCACATTGCTCAACATGGGACTTAGGCATCTCATACTATCTTAGTCTCCATCAATTGGTCCTCCTTGGAGAATTGATGTCTCAACTCTCAAGACATCTCATACTATCTTAATTTCCATCAATTGGCCCTCCTTGGAGAATTGATGTCTCAACTGGTATACTTTACATTACTATGCTTCACTTGACTTCCTTGTAAGTCAAAACCCTTTGCATGTAAGATAAGAAACACTCTCAAAACCTAATTGTTGAGGACTTGAGGTGAGAGGACCAACCCACTTAAATATCCCAAAGTATCCCATGCTAGTCGGATAAGACTTAGACATCTCATAGTACCTTAATCTCCATCCAATCTAATGGAAGGAGAATTTTTTGTTTGGTCTTTAGCCAAGGATCAATTCTAGATATGTTGAATCTATGAGAGAAACTATCCTACTGAAATTTTAATTATTAGGGAAGTGCCAAAACATTTTATGAGCTAGATCATTACAGCCTATACTTCTTGTGTTGCAGTAGGTATTTATGAACTAGAAGGGGCGGTTGCAATGCACAGACCATGCTGCCTAATCGTTTGACTTGGTACATTTTAATTGGTTTGAGTGAAAACAGGATTCATTGAAGTTGGAATTATAATGAGTAGGGGGCTTTATGATGCATGCAAGATGTAGCCTGTTATTTGATTTCAGTGAATTGGTTGGAATTAAAACAGATCTCTGGAATCCTTATGAAGAATTATTGAGCAAAAAACTGAATTACACTGTACAGTGGGAGGACGCATACATATACACATACAGACCATGATGTCAGCCGAGATATATGGCCAAGAAATAAGGGATAGGGAGAATAAAATAAAAGATTTCCTAATATATCTGATCCTATAATAACTATCAGATATTTACATTAAATATAGTATATTTTCACACTCCCCCTCAAGTTGGACCATAGATGTTAATCATGTCTAACTTGCGGATGAAATAATCAAACTTATCTTTACTCAAGCCTTTGGTGAGAACATCAGCTGTTTGCTCCCTTGTTGGTATGTGTCTCATCTGGATGATGCCAGTATCAATCTTCTCTCTGATAAAGTGTCTATCTATCTCAACATGCTTGGTCCTGTCATGTTGGACTGGGTTGTGTGAGATGCTGATTGCTGCCATACTGTTTGAATACAGAGTGATAGGTAGGTTAACATCCTTTTTTAGTTCCTCAATCACCCTTTTAATCCATATACCTTCACAGATTCCCAAAGCAATAGCTCGAAATTCTACCTCTGCACTACTACGGGCTACTATACTTTGCTTCTTGCTTCTCCAAGTAACTAAGTTTCCCCAAACAAAGGTGCAGTATCCAGATGTAGATTTTCTATCCTCTTGATCACCTGCCCAATCTGCATCCGTGTAGAGTTCCATACCGCGCTTCTCAGATTTCTTAAACCATAAACCCTTTCCAGGAGTACCTTTCAAATACCTGAGAATCCTGTAGACCTCATTCAAGTGTTTCTGCTTGGGGTTATGTGAGTGTTGACTCACCATGCTAACTGCAAGGGCGATGTCTGGCCTAGTATGTGACAAATAGATTAATTTCCCCACCATACGCTGATACCTGCCTATATCAACAGGCTTGCCAAGATTTTCTTCATTGCTTATCTTGTCAACTCGGATGGGTGTATCACTAGGTCTACACTCAAGCATGCCAGTCTCATTTAAGAGATCTAGCACATATTTTCTCTGAGAAATAGATATTCCCTTCATGGATCTTGCTACCTCCATGCCCAGAAAATACTTCATTTCTCCAAGATCTTTTATCTGAAACTCTTGAGCTATCGCCCTTTTAAGATTTTCAATCTCCTCAGCATCATCGCCTGTAAGAACCATATCATCCATATAAACCAACAAAACAGTAATTTTAGTGCCTCGGTGTTTGTAGAACATCGTGTGATCGCTTTGACCTTGTTTGAACCTTGCCATTTTTAGTACCCGTGTGAGTTTCTCAAACCACGCTCTCGGAGACTGCTTTAGTCCATATAAGGACTTCTTCAATTTGCATACTTGATTCGGTTTATTTCCTGGGAACCCTGGTGGCAACTTCATATATACTTCCTCTTTCAACTCACCGTTTAGGAAGGCATTTTTGACATCTAATTGATGTAATGGCCAATCAAGGTTGGCTGCTAGTGATAGAATTATTCTAACAGTATTGAGTTTGGCTACCGGTGCAAATGTCTTCGTGTAGTCTATACCATACACTTGGGAGAACCCTTGAGCGACAAGTCTCCCTTTGTGTTTATTTAGAGTCCCATCAGCATTATATTTAGGTGTGAAGACCCACTTACATCCAACTGCTTTCTTTCCTGGAGGTAATTCTACCACATCCCAAGTATTGTTGTTTATCAATGCCTCCATTTCTTCCATTACAGCTTGTCTCCATTCAGGTACGGCCATAGCCTCTTCAATGCTCTTTGGTACTGTAACACTGTTCAAATGGGCAGTAAATCCAGAAAATTTAGCAGACAATGCTTGATAAGACACAAACCTCTCGATCGGATGCCTAGTACAGGCTCTCGGCTTCTTCCTCATAGCTATTGGTAGGTCAATATCATCCTTATCTCCTAATTCTTCCAGACTTCCTCCATTATCTTCTTTTGGACCTACATTTGGTTCTGACTCTTGGTCAGTGCTTGAGATATGGGTCTGTTTACCTGTCTTGTTTTTCCGTGTATAGGTCTGTGCAAATCTGGTGTCTCCCCCTATTGTGGACGTCTCCTTTGGACTAGGATTTGGCATATCACTTCTAGTATTGGTGTTCTCAATTCCTAGGTCCAAATCAGGATCAGTGGGTTCAAGAGACAAATGATGAGGTACAGCTATAAGATTGGGTGTTTCAGGTATTTCACTCATGTTTTCACCCATGCCAATCTGCAATTCATTCCAATTCTCCCCCTGGATTGGGGATTGGGAGTAAAAGGATTCTGTTTCGTGAAAGGTGACATCACAGGTGGTGAAGATATGTTTGGTGGTGGGATCAAAGCACTTGTACCCCTTTTTAGTGGCAGAATAACCAAGAAAAACACATCGGACAGCTTTGGGGTCAATTTTGTTTGTGTGATGAAGATGAACATAGGAAGTACATCCATATACCCGTAAGGGTAAAGTATTTTCCAGGTAGGGTAGATTGTAAGTTTGGTGTAGAAATTCAATGGGAGTTTTATATGACAAGGTGCGATTGGGAAGGCGATTAATAAGGAAGGTTGCAGTTAGGACAGCATCATCCCAATGATATTTAGGAACATGGCTCCTAAAGAGAAGTGCACGAGTTGTTTCAAGAATGTGCCTATTTTTCCTTTCAGCAATTCCATTCTGCTGAGGACTGTAAGGACAGGTACTTTTGTGAACAATTCCATTGGAAAGTAAAAAAGTGGAGAGATGTCTGTTGAAGTATTCTGTGCCATTATCAGTGTGAAGAGTTTGAATAGACGTGTGAAACTGATTTTTTACCATATGATAGAAATCAATGAATACCTGAGAAACATCAGATTTGTCTTTTAGAAGGAACACCCAAGTAACGCGAGAATGGTCATCAATAAAGGTGATGAACCACTTTGAGTGAGTTCTATTAGGGACCCAAGAGGGCCCCCATAGATCACTGTGAATGATTGTAAAAGGCTTTGATGCAACGTATGGCTGATTAGGAAAGGAAACACGATGATGTTTTGCTTTTTCACAAGAGTCACAATAGAGCTGAGAATAATCTCTTTTATTGCAAATTAAAGAAAACATTTTTGACATATAATTGAAATTAGGATGACCAAGACGTTTGTGCCACAACTCCAACTCACTAGTCTTAGGGAGAGACACTTTATTGCATGACCTAACATTGCTGACTTTATTTCCATCTAGGTAGTAAAGACCATCAAATTCCTTAGCACTGCCAATCGTCATCCCTGTCAGTAGATCCTGGAAAAGACAATAAGTAGCAAAGAAATCAACATGACATTTCTCATTTTTTGCCAATTTACTTACTGAGAGTAAGCTGCATTTTAAATTAGGCACATGCAGAACGTGATGTAAGGTTAAAGTAGATGAGAGTTGTATACTCCCTATACCAGAGATGACCGACTCCGATGCATCGGCAATCTTGACTGTAAAGTTCTTTTGGCAAGGTACATAGGTCGTAAATAATTTAATATTATCAGTCATATGATCCGACGCGCCTGAGTCTACTATCCAGCAATCTCCAGTGCATACTCGTTTAATAGTAGCCAAGGCTTTAGAAAAATTACCTCTTTGTACCACAGTAGCAATAGGTTGCTTATTAGTTTGCAAAGCTGACAGCATTTCAATGATCTTACTTAGTTGATCATTTGAGGGCTGTGAATTATCATCTCCCATAGAGCTTTCAGCAACATATCCACGACTTTTTCCCTTTCTTGGCTTCTAGTCGGGTGGCTTACCGTGGAGGTCCCAACATTTATCCTTTGTGTGGCCCACTTTCTTACAATGTTCACACGTGGGACGTCCTTTAGTGCTTCTAGGATCATTAGACTTGGCAGTAAGAGCAGATGATTCAAAAGTACCGGTTTGAGAAATGGGTTCATCTTTCAACATTACCTTCCTTCGAGAGTACTCCCTCCGGATCATTGCAAAGGCTTCACGGACAGATGGCAAAGGTTCCAAACTCAAAATTCTGCCACGAACATCATCCAAGTCTGAATTAAGTCCGACTAGCAACTCATACAGTCGTTCTTTCTCCAGCCGTTTTCTGAACCGAGCAGCATCCTCAGAACTGGTCCATTCTTCAGCAGTAATCAGATCAAGTTCTTGCCATAGAGCAGTTTTTTCCAGGTAATATTCACTTGGGTCACGATTACCTTGCTTTACGAGCCATAGCTTGGATTTAATCTCAAACACTTGAGAAGCATTCTCCCCATCTGAGTATGCCTCCTTCACAGCGTCCCATATCTCACGAGCTGTTGGGAGAAATAAAAAACTCTTCTTCACAGCCGGTGCCATTGAATTAACCAGCCATGAGCATACCATTGAGTTTTTGGTCTTCCAGAGCCTGAGAGCCTTGACATTCATTGCCTCTGGACACTGGGTTTCACCGGAAACGTACCCCCATTTGCCACGACCTTCTACCGCGAGCCGCACCGTCTGGGCCCATTCTCGGTAGTTGACGCCAGTGAGTTTTTCTGAGACGAGAGAGACGAGCGAGCTCTCTTGGCCAGTCACGAGGTGTGCGACTTGACGTGAGCTCGCACCGGACGAACTCTCCAAGCCAGTCGACTCTGTATTTCGGTGAGTCTCAGGCTGAAAGCTCGAGTCCATGTTCGTCTCTGATGATTCAGTTGCTCGTTCTTCTTCGAGCTCTGATACCATGAAGAATTACTGAGCAAAAAACTGAATTACACTGTACAGTGGGAGGACGCATACATATACACATACAGACCATGATGTCAGCCGAGATATATGGCCAAGAAATAAGGGATAGGGGGAATAAAATAAAAGATTTCCTAATATATCTGATCCTATAATAACTATCAGATATTTACATTAAATATAGTATATTTTCACACCTTATTGTCAGACTCTAGTGCTTATGTTGTAGATTGAGCTCTTTTTAGATATTTGATACACCTTGCCATAGCCCCATCTGAGAGGCTTCTGTTTCATTTTGTTTCTTGGTTGCACTTAGAGGCCTCCACTTTGATGCTTTAGTTTGTATAGGTGTGTGGCTCCTGGCCATCTCTTATTAATGGGATTATCTTTTATACATTAGGAAGTTATTTAATCTCTGGCAGGACAAGCCAAAATAATATACCTGATGATTTCTTCCATTTGTTAGGTTAATGATTAACAGCAAATTAATGATCCAACAACTTCATTGTAATGCTGACACTGTAGCATTCCACTTGCGCTTGCAGGGATAAACCAATGACAGCAGCTGCATTTTCAGCTGATGGCTCCGTTCTGGCAGTCGCTGCAGAAACTGTTATTACATTGTGGGACCCTGATAGAAATGTACTTGTGGCAGTTGTAGGACAATCTCAAATGGTATTTTGTTGAGTCCTAAAGATTTATTTATTCATAATTTTTGTTATGTTTTATTGGCCAAAAAAATCATATATTTTGAGCATTTAATTCATATCAACAAAGAAGCTGTGGTAAGCCTTCCAGCAGATTCTTGCAGTATAATTCTCAAGTAGTTTGCAAAACTTTTCTGGATATATATATATATATATATATTTTAATTTTGCTTAAGTATTTGAAGCCTAATATTCATGAATTAAATTCTAATCCACCCTCCATTATTGTTGGTTGATTATCTTGCCCTAGCATTACTGCTATAACATTTAGAAGATAATCAGAGTATAGGAATTGCATCTTCATAATGAAAGAATTGCCATTAATTGTGCTCTTGTGCAACTATCTATTCTGTAGTGCCTCCCCCCTGCACTTCTATTTGATATGTTTCTACATGGTGTTACTTTTGTGCTGTATATTTATGATTTTCATTGATCGTTGTCAATACTTATCCCTCTAAAGTCTCACCTATTCTTGCATTCCTTATTTACAGCCAATTGTGAGCCTTACCTTTGGTGGAAATTCAGATTGTCTTTTGTATGCGTCTCATGGTTCAAAACCACAGCTAGCTGTTTTGAGTATGTCAAAGTTAGCTGAATGTTGGTCATACTGGCTTCAAGTAGAAGGTATATGCATATTTTTCCCAGGAGGCATTTGTTTACTATTTCTGCTATAGAAACATGACAAAACTTCAGGGTCATACAAGTCTCTAGTCATTCTTTCTTCTTGCAATCATGTGTATTATTTAAACGCTATTGAGTATTTTGCTTGCCTTTGTTCTCGGTATATCAACAGTTTTCCTTTTTTTTTTCTTGTTTCAAAGCCTATGCCTCTTTGAAGGAAAAATATATATCTGACAAATTGTTATTTGTGCAGCTGTATCGTATGCAAATGATTTATCAGTTTTTGCCATTCTAGCTCTCCTTCCTGAATCAAATGAAAGAACATTTGGAGGAGATGGGATAATATTGCTATTCAATGCTACAGATCCTATTCCTGTGACCTCTTTGTCTGTAACAAAGGTATTGTTTGTTTTCAAACCCCAATATGTTTCCCCCCTGAAGAAAAGGGGAAAAACCAATATTTTCTCTCTCAAGAATTCAAGTGTTTGCAAATCAATAGAACATTTTGTTCAGCATCTGTATTTAGTCCATTAATTATTATTATTATTATTATTTTTTTTTTTTTTACCGATCATTTTTGTCCTTCCATCTGTTGAAGTCCCTTGACCAGCATCTCAGACCTCAGTTTGATGTTTGCCAAGGGACAAAAATGATTGGGAGAAAATTATTGAGGGACGAAATTGAAAGTTGCCATATGGAGGATTAATATGAATGGTCATTTTACAGGGGGAAGCACAAAGTAATCTTGATGAGACCCATTCCCATCAAATTTACCCATATTATAATTTTTCGTCTTTCCATACTTGTGGTAAATACTAGTTGTTCATAACCTAAATAGAAATACAGTCATGCACTTGCAGGTGGTTTGGATTGTTGTCTTTTCTGGAGAAAGACTTGCAGTGTTTAACTGTTTTGTTTGATTTTCCGATCCTTTGCACACAGGCCAAGGGAGGGAGGATTGCTTTTATCAAAGGAGATCCGTCTTCCTTGGAACTAGAGGCACTTGATGGAAATCCATTGCAGACACTGCTTGCCTATATAAACGGAGATCATGAATATGTCGTCTTTGATCCATATGGCAAAGAAATTCGTGGGTTGAGCATAACTAGACGGGATGACCCTTCACTTGAAGAAACAGGTGGGATTGCCTCACCAATACTTGGTTTAAATCAGTTCATGTGTAATTTTCTCCTATTCTAGATGTTAATTATCTTTGCCATGGATTTATGTTATAGTAAGTTAAACATCAGACAATGGAACTAGTATAATAGGTTCAAAATGTAGTCTTTAATCAGTATAATTCTTATGCCTTTTATTTTTGCTTTCCCCCTCCATTTCAGGACAATATGGATATGCATCTCTGTATGGGAAGTTACCAGAGTTTAACTTGAAAAAGAACAGCATTTCATTGATTTCTTCTGCTCCATCTGAGAAGCCATGGGGCGCCATATTTCCCTATTCAACACACACACTTCCGCAGCTCGACAAATTGTGTTGTGAGTTTTTGGAGTCCCTTACGGAGAAAAGGACGGCAACTGCAGAATAAAATAATCCGAGGAACTAGGTCTCAATGATAAGAACAAGATATCATACGTGTCATTTTTGTGGGATACCATCACCTCCCACCGATAGAGCTTTAAGGGACGGGACTATGGGATGCTTGTGGTCTATAATCAGTTTTTGTGTGCAATATTTGTGCTGGGTTTGGGATGACAGGAGAAGAAGAGCCCCTTATAAAAGATCCGAGATTTGTGCTGAGGAATGCTGGCCTGCATTTGCTTCTTAGTCCGGCATTAACAATTTTGTAGAATCACATGATTTTCAGAGAAGTTCTTGAAGTTGGCTGATGTAGATATAAACAAAATAGCAGAAGAGCAAGCTTCATACTTAACCAGGAGTGAATGGCTAGATAGTTTATTAGTAGAACTGTTTAGAGTAATGACAGTTTAATCTCAACCTCGAGAAGTTTTGCAGTTAGTGAAGAGCATCTCATATTGCTGTCATTGCAGCGTCAGTTCATTCCTGATTTCATATCATGGAATGGTCTTTAAATCTCAAATATCATAAATTCTTTCCTGTGTTAGTTCTAACCAGGGTTGCTGGTTTTCTTAATATTGGTTAGCTAGACAAACACACCTTAAACGTGTTATGTTTACCGTCCAAAAAGTCAACAGCAAATCAATTGATGCCACTTGTTCCTGATTATTTTGTGTATAAATATAAAATATTTAGAACAAAATCTCTGAATGAGGATCCTAAAATTAATAAATCGACTGTTATTGGGCCACTTTAACATGCAATAAATGTAATTGATTTTTATATGGCTCCACTTTATTTATGAGTTTTCACTCCAGCTGTGCCTTTTTAAAATCACGTGCACTAAAAAAAAGAGCTACCTTTATCATTATTTTTTAATTTTTAATGAAAATATCATCGAATATGGTATTTTTTAGATAAAACTGTTTCATGAAGATCATATTTTGTTTAGTAATTGAATGAAAAACTACTAGTAATTTTGAAATTCTTTCTATGTGCGCGATGGCCCTGGCCCTTGGATTGACGTTTACTAGAATAATAAATGACTTGAACACAGAATTAATGCCTCTGGTCCTTCTGGGTAAGTCTTGAATTAATGAGAATTAAATTCTTGATAATTTTTTTAAAATAATTTATAAATATCCGGTCAAATAAATAAATTTTAAAATTTCAAATGCAAATAAAATATTTTAAGTTGTAAATATAATTCTTAGATTGCAACTAAAATTTCTATTTGCAATTCATTTCTTTAAAGAAATTTGTTATACACAAGCATTTATATAAGTTAGGTCTTGAGAGTTTATCAAACAGTGCATGCTTCCAAACTCAAACAGTATTTATAGAAGTATTCATAGATCAATCACTAATGAAATTCTTATATTAATAACAAAATTTAAATTCATAATTTTTTAAATTATAAATTAAATTCTTATCAATTGGATGAATTTTAATTGGTTGGTTTGAGACCCTTTGGTTTGATCTCTTGCTACCTTTTCGGCTTGCATGTAGGTAGGTAAATTGGACCTATATTGTGAGCTCGAGGGGTATATAAGAACCCATCTACTCCTTGGGATCATTTATCGAGATGTTTTATATAAATTTTCACGGTTTTGTGAAAAACATTCAAATACTGCAACTATACTCATATTCATCTTTGTTCTTTGTGAATGAGATAATAAAACCTTGACTCAAATGATGAGACCACTATTAAAATTCTAGGATAAAAAGGAAAAATTATTAAATATGTTGACCCCATACCTTATAAATTGAACCAACTATATTTTCTACAAGGCACCTTATGTATATAGGATTCAAGGGAATATTTTCTTTCCTGCATTAAACATTTCTTTCACCAAAATATCCCTAGTTAATGCTCAATTTTTGGGTAGAAAAATATTATCATCTCTATTCCAAATTATAAGAAAATTTTGATGGCACTTTAGTGTCTTAAAATATAAGACAATTTGACCAAAAAAAGGTTTCATTAAACTTAATTTTTCAATACTACCCTTACCTCCTCATTGATCTCTCTCTCTCTCTCTCTCTAATTGTTTAAGGCTATATTAAATGAAGAATATTTTTAAAAATTTATATTTTAATTTAAAAAAATAAGGTTTTAAAATGTATTTAATAATCCCTCAGTAAAAAAATGTAAGGCATTTTTAACTAAATCTCACCCCCAAATAAAGAAGTTACTTGTCTTCAAATTAATTATATCTTTTCACATTTATCTCTATTTAATATGGTATTTTATTATATAATAAATATAAAGTGATTTATTTAATATGGGTACTTAAAAAAGGCAATGATTATACTTTAAAAAATTAAAAATATTTTATATTTTTAAACATCTAACTCCTAAAAAAATTTCTTACATTTTTAAATGATGGGAGTAAGTTTTGATAGTATATGTAATTTTACCTAAATTTATTTTATAAATTGGGACGAAGAGACTAGAGAGTATGATTAAGGAATCTCATTGAATATTAGGGATAATAATAAAGGCAGAGTAACACAAATATTTGTGGTTTAGTTATCTTATCAAATAATGGTAGACATGAAAAAAGAAAATGTAATTTTTAATAAGAAGGATTACATTCAAGGACTTGACAAGAAATTTATTCATGAAGAAGGACTAATAATATTTCCCATTTGAAAAAAAAATATATATGTTTTTATTTTAACAACAATCTATTTCATATTAGTTCTTATTTGCAAATAAGTTTTTTTTTTGGGTTCTTCAATGTGATTTTTCTTTTTTAATAATGTTAATTATTTTCTTGACAAGAAAAATTAGTTATATAATTTTGAACAAAAGGAGTAATTAATCAATGTCTCTAAAATTTTCAATTTTTTCAAATATATACTTTACTAAATATAATTGGTTCTCTTAATGGAGAATGAATCAAATTAGTTAGCAGGGTGAAGTGAATTTGTCATTACTTTTAATATTTAGTAAAATGAATCGTAATAAATTGAAACATACAACCTTACAAAAAATATGCGTTTTAAGTTATATTAGTAAATGGAGGCTAATAAACTGTCGGATTATTTCATGCAATGTATGGGGAAAATATAAAATCGATCCATTTTCAAATGAGTATAAAGGCTTTCGATAACTCGCTTAATTCCCCCATGAAATTGTTGCTTTGGTTAATTAGGGATTTAGTCTCAGGCAAAAACAATAGTGACTAGTGAGTTTAATCCCTTTTAATTAATTCAAAAATGTAAATGATTGATGCATGATTACAGGGGATCAACATTAAAAGGGAAGAATGGCGGGAAAATGAACTACAATTTATAAACACAATTATTTTTTGAAATTTTTGAAAATCTCTCAATGCTCAGACATAACATAAACGTTTACAGACTATACATGCGAGATCACAAATACCTTTGAATCTAATTATGAATTAATTTTATTTTTTAACTTTAAAGATTTTTTTCTTCATTACCCTGCTGCTTTCTTACCATTAGTTGATCATTAGTGAGCCCGACGTTATATTTTTTAATATTTTTTGTTATAAAATATTTGAATTGAGGAGTAAAAATGACCCTTAACCTGATCAAAAATATTTTAAAAATAGTAAAACCTATTGATGACTAATGGATGTTAACTGTTTTTAATATTAAGATAATGACAGAAGGAATTTTTAAAGTTGAGGAACAAAATTAACTCATAATTAAGTTTTGAGGTATTTGTGACATTTCGTGTATAATTTAAAGATAAAAATAACTCTTAACCTTAAAATCAACAATATGTGCAATTTTAATTTGTTTAATATATATTTTTACCTCTAAATATTTAAAATTGTGATAATATCTTCCTTGTTGTCAATTTTGACTGCAATTGATTAAAAAATTATTAAAAAGACCACAAAAATTATAGAAAAAGATCAAAATAATCACAAAACAAGATTGAACTTTGACCTAATATGAAATTTGGTCTTTTTTATGAAAAAGATTGGATAAGGCAACTCAAAATTCAATCTAGTTTAGTCATAACTTGGAAATTAACAAGACCAAACTTAGTTAATGAGATTGAGAGACTAGTTTTGGTAGTCCAGTACTCACTTAGGTCATGTTCGGTTGCTAGAAAGGAATAGAATGAAATGAACTAAATTACCCTTCTTCCTATGGTAAGCATAATAAAATTTATTAATATATATTATAAATGTGATAACCATCATACCTTCAAAAAAATTTTATGAATCATGATTCCCAACCTTATAAACTAAATTACTCCTCTCCCTTATGAATATGCTCACATATCCCTTTGAATTATTTTATTATTATTATTATTATTATCAATTCATTCCATTCCATTTCTTTCTAGTAAGCAAACGTGACTTAACCTTTTTTTTTCATTTTTTCTTCCATGAGAGGCAACAATTCATGTCAACCTGATAAATTTAATTAAAATAATACAAATACTTATAATAATAAGAAATCTATGATAATCTCCAACAACAATAAAAAATTATATTTCCTCTATTAAAAAATGTAAGAAATTTTGAGAGGTTTGATGTTAAAAAATATAAGACATTTTTAATCTTTCAATGTGTAATCATTATTTTTTTTTTCAAAAGTGTCTCTATTAAGTAAATTACTTTATATTTATTTTAAGATAAAATATCCTATTAAATAGGGATAAATATAAAAATATAGTGTTAGTTTGAAAATAAGTAACTACTTTATTGAGGGATGACATTCAATTAAAAATGCTTTATATTTTTGAACGAAGGAAGTATTAATTACAATCCAAATAAATCAAATTCATAATTTCAACAACAACAACAACAACATTCAAAAAATTTCAGCAACATATTTAATCTACATTACAACAATAATTTAGTAACAAACTAAATTAAAATTATATTAAATAGAGTGAAATGTGAATGAAGTAAACACTGTATTCAAATTTTAAACTATTCAAATATATTAAAAATAATTAAAATTATATTAAAATAATTTTATAGAACCAGACCAAACTAAATGGTTTGAGAGTTAGTCTCTTATCTGATCCAACCTAAGGAGTTAATTTGATTTTTTTGGTTTCTTTGGTCCTTCAAACCAAATTTTTTACTAGACTATACTAGAATGAGTTTGTTTAGGTATGATTAGGTTGGACAGGATAACTGAGCTCTTTTACAGTCCTAGGTGGAATAACAAGCCATTATCGACTTTTAGATGTTCCCTTTCCTTTCTATTTAATTAATTAGGAGCCATTCTTAGAGCTACGGTTCGATACGCAATATTAGATCACGAGAGATTGAAAATTGAGTAATGCTCTTTCAATCTCGATTGGTAAAACGTTATTTTCAATTATTTTGTTATTTCCACGCTGCTCATCATCAGTGAGATATTCACATGCATGGAATTAATTTGATGAGTGGCCTAACTACACTTATTTAATAAGTGTCTTTATTTAAACTTAGTGAATGACTTAAATATACTTATTTAAATTAAATGATTATTATTGTGCCATGGAATCCAAATCCCATATATGTAGCGATATATCGACAAATTGTTTTATTTAAGTTTTTACTAACATTTTTAGCTAATGTTTGTATTTTTTTTAAATCCATTTTCAATTATATTATTTTTTCAATCATAAAAAATGAAACCTCAAAAATCTTATATTGAAGAGTTAAGTGTAAATGTGTACAGATAATTATTTAAATTATTTAATTAATTCTCTTATTAATCTTCAATATTTGATCTACTCAAGAAAATATCAGACATGTTATAACTGCCGACATTAATGGGGATCTACCACATCAATCAAATTTCACATCCACCGGACCACAAATTGTCAATGGTTACAAAGGAAAATTTTACTCCTTCTATTGTTTTATAAGAAAATGACAATTTTTTTAAATTATATAAATGATAATTTAATTTTTTAAAATGTCATAATTTTACTAAAGTCTTTAAAGACCTTTATGTCATTAATAAATTTATATAAATGATCAAATTATCCTTATAGCAATTTTAGAAATTTGACATGTAAAGCTGTAATTTGCTGTTACATTATTGTGAATAGAGAAAGTAAAATTGTCATTATTTAAATAAAATGTATAATCATTATTTGTTATTTCTAACACTTACAGTAATATCAGAAATTTGATATGTAAACTTGTGATTTGCTATTACATTATTATGAATATACGGAGAAAAATTATGGTTATTTAAACAGAAACTTATGATTTTTTTATTTTCAACAAGAACAATATGATCATTTACATAAATTCATTAATTACATAAAAGTCTCTAAAAATTTTAGTAAAATTATGATATTTTGAGGGATCAAATTATTATTTATATATTTAACCTTTTTGTACTATAAAAGAAAATGTCATATAATTCATTGGTTTTTTTATTATAAGAGAAACTGTAAAATAAAAAACATTTATTTATTTTTTTTCAAATTGCCTTCCATGAAATAAAAAATTATCTTTACAAGACAAACTTATTTCGTTAATTACAAAATATTTTAGTCTAAAGTTGTATTTTCAAACATAATTATTAAGATTAACAAATTTTTTTAAACTATGAAAATTAGTTAAAATTTACTTATATTTAAAAATGTAGTGCTTTTCTTTGCGTTATATACTTTCTAAATAATTAACTCATTCCCTTGCTAAGTTGCTATATTATTTGTTCATTATTTCGATCTAAAATTTAATTTAAAATTTAATAGTTTAGTTGACATCAAGTATTAGCATCTCCAGGTGTTCTAATGATTAGATTTAACATTAAATTTTGGAAAAAAAAATTAAGAGATACAAAATATATTACAATAATGAGCGATCAAATCTAAAGAATATGCCAATGAAGGATCAAATTAAAATATCACCTACATATATAATACAAAAATAAAATTATCCTCTGATTAATTACTTGTAATTGAGTCAGGAAGAGATATAACTGAGCATGAACTATCATAATCACATTCCAAATCCTCAAGACCCCATGCGCCATCTTCTTCATCTTCTTCTGGCATTTTCCATTTATCTTCATCTATTTCTTCCTCCTCCATTACCTCTAATACCTGTCATTTCACAAAAATAAAAATTATAAAACATCAAAATTTATACCATCATCAACTAGAAAGCTGTCCTACAAGATGCATGATCAACAATCATTTTTTTTTTATAAGTTGATAGCCAAAAAGTTGCTAATATTTTTCATTGGAATTGATTCAAGATAAAAAAAATTCTTTAAATTTAATAATAATAATAATAATAATAATAATTTTAGTTAAAATACGAATCATGTTTTTTCAAAAAATAAATCTGTCACATCTACCAAGAAAAGAAGTAAAAAATTGAATAACTTATTTTCTCGAACAAAAAAAAAATTATTCCTTCCCATTTCTACCTATTAATTCATAATCTTTTCATTCAAAAATTTGAGACATTTTTTGAGGATTTAAATATTTAAAAATGTAAGATATTTTTAGTTTTTTTAAGATGTAATCAGTACTTTTTTTTTTTTCAAAAGTGCCCTTATTGAATAAATTACTTTATATTTTTTAGGGTATAAATAGGGATAAATAGAAAAAGATAGGATTAATTTAAAGATAAATAACTACTTTATTAGAAGTAAGGTTCAATTAAAAATGTCTTATATTTTTGAATTGAGGAAGTAATTTTTTATCACGTACAAATATCATTTTATTAAAAGCAATCTTGTTCGAAATAGAGTTAGACATTAAATATGAATACTTCTCTTAATGAGAGAATTTGAATCTTGATTCCCCTTGTTATAAAAGAATAATTCATTTTACAAGATTCAACTCTGTTTTTTAACAATAGATTCAATCCAGTTTTCAAGGGTTTTAAATCATAATTTTAGACTTCTGACTTCACAGTTGAAACCAAGGGCAAAACAGGAAAAATTATTAATGCAACAAACAACACCACCTAAACATGACTTACTCTATATTTTAAATCAAGATAAGTTTGTTAAAACGTGACTTATATTTTCATTATTTTGCACCAAAAAAGTAAATGCATGATATATTAATTAATATTAGTTAATATTAGTTAATAAAGCTTTCCAATCATTACTGGCATAGTGTCAATCATTGCTTTATGTAGTTCACGCCAAGAACATGAGTCTCCTAGCACAATTAATTAATTACATGCACAGCACCTCTTTTTTGGATAAACGTAAAAATCAGTATCAACCAACTCACGACCCCGTATCATCTCTCATTGGATAAAATTTTTGGAGAACTATGCACAGGTTTCACACAATAAAATTACTTATTAATTTTTTAATTTAATTATTAATGAATTTTATAGCAGTTAATTTTTTATACGAGACTTTAATATAATTTTTTCTAATTGTCCCAAAAAATATAATTCTTACTATTATTTTTATAAGTTAGTTCCAACATGTTTTATCAAAATTAAGAAAAAATTTAAATTTCATCAATCCTATATAAAAATTCAACAAATTTTTTACTTTATTTCTATTAAATATATAAATATTTTAAAAAAAAGATATTCCAGCATTTAACAGGGGAAAAAAACATGGACACAAAAAAATATCAAGGCAACTTAAATATGATCAAAATAAATATTTCCTATGAATAAGATTAGAGAAGTAATAATTAATTGTGGTCTCTGGCAGACAATGATATAAAGGCCATACCGCCATGAGACACATTACTCATAATTTATAAACAATGGAGCTTGTTAATAGTTTTATATCATATATAGATATATTAATGATCTCTTAAACTGGCTTAGTTTTCTAATCAAATGCTATATTTATATATGGACCCACTCACTAGTCACTACTAGATTCCTGATCTGTATTGTTAAATTTATATTAGGATTAGGTAGCACAGAACATCAACCATGAAAACACTATATAAGTTCAATTTAAGACTCGTCTTTAAAACACAGGTGTGTCGTTATATGATTAATTAACTTGGTGTAATATGAAAGAGAAGGTCTGCTAAATTGATTATAAATGAAATGAAAAGATAAAAAAGAAAATCATATTTCTATTTCTTTCTCTACTTTGCTGAAAGTCACATATTTAATGACATTTCTCTAAGTACTTCCTCTAGTTTCATTTATAAGGTGGAGGGAGAAAATTTTTTTGATCATATTTATAAGTTACATTATTAATTTTTTTATTATAATTTTCTTATTTTATCCTTTATTAAATGTTAGTAAGAGAGATATGCTATTAAAATATGCATATTTAATAGAGTTTTAAATTTAATCTTCATTGTGGTAAAACACGTTAGAAAATGACTTATCAATATAAACATATAAACATCTGTAAAGTGATGCAACTATTTTTATGAGTCTCACATAAAGAGCCCTACAAAATCAGTTTACAAGTTCAACTAACTTTTTTACTTAACAAGCTAATCTTTTAAAATAGGTTTTTACTTTGAATTCATGCTCGTCACATACTTTAATTAGTAGAAGAGCCTTTGAAGTTTGAACCTTTAAACTTGTAAGCTCTTCACTTTTCTTGTGAGGCTTACTCATATGAAACTCATAAGACACGAAAATTTGACAGGCTTGTAAAAAAAGCATTAAAGAAGAGAAGTCATTGATTCTATAAGAAAGAACAGTTTTCTGGGGATGATTACTATTCTATTTGGGTAAAAAAATAAGAAAACTAGAAAGAAATATTGAAGAAGAAACAATTCAGGGGCGGCCAAAGTACGAGGGTAGAGCAGTACAGGTACCTGAGTCATGGTAGGTCTCCAAGTAGAAGATGGTCGGATACACAGAGAGGCTGCAAAAGCAAGCCTTGTTAGCTCTGAAACATCATAAGCTCCTTCAAGCCTTGGATCCACCACCTTTTCTAGCTCCCCTCTCTTCAATATTGGCCTAGCCTGTGTTTTTCAGTCATTGATCAACTATTAACTTCATCAAACATGGATTCCAAAAACATAATATGATTGAATACCCAGTTGTGTAAACTCTGGTTTGATCCATCCACAGGTATCTTCCCAGAGATGAGTTCTAGCAGAAACACCCCAAATGCAAACACATCAGTTTTCTCATCCACAATTCCATGCATGTAGTACTCAGGAGCCAAGTGCCTGCAAAACATAGAATATTCTCATATTCATATTATATTGATCATTATCTCTCAAAGTCTGAGAAGCAATTCACAGACACAAATCATGTCACAAAATGTCTTTTTGAAACATTTGTGATTTGTTGGTGAATAATGTTGGGAAAGAGTGTACCCAAATGTTCCTTCAATTGGGGCAATGGAATGATGAGTCCACTGAGAAGGAAGCCATTTGGCCAGTCCAAAATCAGATATCTGCAACAACCCAAAACAGACACTTTCATGATCTAAAGAACTATACACACACACATCAAAAGTATGAGGATTGAAATGAAAACAGATCAGAAGAACCTGTGGTTCAAAATCTGAAGTCAGAAGAACATTGGAGGCCTTTATATCCCTATGAATTATCCTTCTCTGGCAACCCTTGTGCAAATAATGAAGGCCACGTGCAGTCCCAAGAGCAATCTTATGTCTTGTTTTCCATTCCACGACAGGCTCATTCTCATCTGATACACAAAGTTTCTCAGCCAAGAAAATAATAAGCAAGAAACTTGGATGGTGTTGATTTAATAATTAACGTACCATGAAGAAGAGAAGAAACAGAGCCTCTAGTGGAAAACTCAAAGACGAGGTAAAGCCCATTATCAATACAGCAACCCAGAAGAGGTAAAACGTTTGAATGACGAACATGACCAATTGTTCCAATCTCTGTCAAAAACTCTCTCTCTTTCCTCTCATCATTACAGATTTTTGTGAGCCTCTTCACTGCGATTACCTCTCCATCTTCTAACGTTCCCTTATAAACCTCTGCAAACCCTCCTTTCCCAACACGATTCACTGCACAAAAACGTAATTTCCAGCACCAAAATCCACAAGAAAGCACACTTTTGTATGAGAAAAAAAGTTATATATATATATATATACAAGTACCAGAGCAGAAGCCATTGGTGGCATCAAATAGTTGCTGAAAAGAGAAGCATTTCCAAGCGGGTTTTTCTCTTTCAGGTGTTTGTGTGCTTTCAGGGATCAAAACTTGTTCACTGAAACTGCGTCGTTTGAAGGAGAAGAGACGCTTGAAGCTGTTGCTCCGAATATAGTCCATTGGAATTAATACGGAACAGAGGAATCTGTTTCATGCAGAAGCAGTTTGTGAACACGGAAATTTCCAGAGAATGAAAGCGAAACAAACACGAACAGACACAGAGAGAGAGAGAGAGAGAGAGAGAAGAGAGTCAAAGGATGTTTGTAGTGTTGTGAGTATAAGGAATGGCGATCAGAGGTGTGTGTGAATGTCGTTGGTGCAGGAGAAACAGTTAATAAGGCTATAAATTGTTAGTGTATAAAGCCTAGAAATGGGACAACCTACCCCTCTTCCTGATGCTACTAATGCTTTTCAGCAGATGGAAAAGGAAACGAAAATTGACGCTCTGACATCCATAAATGAATTTAATTTATTATGTTACTGAAAATTCAAACTCTGTTGATACTAATTTAAAAATTAATGATTAAAATTATAATAAAATTATGATTAGATAAATCATGAACAACATATGGATTCCCTCAAATACAAGAGAAAGTGATTAATTCATAATTTAAGAAAGTCAGTTAAGGATGATAATTATATCTGAAATTAACAGATTTAGATTAAATTATCCCTATAATTAATGACACATATTTGTGTGATGAAAATAGACATTGACTTTACAAGGAATAATTTGAAAAAAAGTGATAAATGTTTCTTGAAATTTATAGTTTTATTTATAAATAAAAATAAAAATATATATGATATTTTTTCTTATATTCAAAAGCCAAATTATAATTGAATTAATTAAGTCATTGATGCAATAATATGTTGGTTTAATCAACCAAGTTGACCCAATTTTTTGTACTCTCTCAATCTCAATTTATAAGATATTTTGGAAGTGATTCAGTATTTTAAAATATAAAATATTAACAAAAATAATATTTCATTACTTATATTTGTTCCAATATTAGGCTTCCCTCCTAATTATATTTTCTCTCTCTTTATTTAATATTCTATAAATAAAGTTATACTAAATGAAGAGTATTTTTGAAAATTAGTATTTGTGTTTTTGCCAACATTAATATTTGTGTTTTGAAGAAAATAAGATTTTAAAGTTTCTTTAATGAATGCATAATTTTATTTAGAAATATTTTATAAATTGAGACGGAGAAAATACCATGCAATCTACCAGCACAAAATTGTCAAAGTCACAAGTTATAAACTAGATTTGTTGAGAACTAGTGAATGGAAATTATTAAAAAAAAAAATAGAGTTCATCTTGAAATGATCTTACTGCGAAAACCTTAATGAGCTTCAACTATAAGGGATTAATGGAATAAGAGCTTAGTTCAGGAGTTGAAAATGAATTATTACTTACGCACTATCAAATAATTTTAGCTTGAAATACTTGCTTAAAAAAATTAAAAACATAACCTAAATGTGGAATAAAATGCAATAAAAAAATAATAATTTCATGCATAAGTTTTATTCATATTTTTTAAAAGAAAAGTTTAAAATAATTGTTGGCCTAAGTTAGGATAACTGTTGGATTAAGTTAGGCTTGACTTGAAATTCCAGAACCTCTCATGAAGCTAACAATTCCACATGCCAGATTCCAGAATTAGGTATGACTCTCCCACAACAAATTTGACAAAGTCACTATTGCCATTTATATATATGGAGAGAGAGAAAAATATAATATAAATTTTACAGCTGAGTGAACATAAATATAAACAGTATCCTTTTTCTGGAGTTTTAATGATGATCATAAAGTGATTGATGCAAATTATATAAATAGGAGCGACAACTACAAAGATACATAAATTATAACAGGAACTATCAGTTCCAGTGCACATGGACATTTCAGGAACAAAAACCTAACTTCTTTATGAAGTGGTTACACGATAACGAGTACTAGCACTGGAAGGGGAAAAAAAAAACAATTAAAGGAGATTATCATTGTCTAAGATTATTTTAAATGAATCTAACTCGTCTTTTTTAAAAAAAGGAAAAAAATGAAAAAGAAAAGTGTTCAAATCGTTAGTTGACGGCACAATAGAAAATTTTTACTCTATATAATAAGTTGATGGTTACTTGTGATGTGAGCCCAACAACATTTATATTCTTGGTTAAATATTTAAGTTGCGCGTGCGCGTGAGCAGTTTAACACAATAAAAATGGATGTATTTTGAGAAAATTGATTTTGTTTGAGTATGATTTGAGATGTAAGAAAAAAAAAATACAAGATAAATATTTAAATGAAAATTATTAGCGAGATTAATGATAAAATAGAGAAGGGGCACTATTAGCGTACCTTGATTCCTTCAACGTGATTTCTCCATGCAAGAGCAAAGACAAAATTGCTTTTTTATTTATTGGAGTCTTGAAATGAAAATTGATTTTATTTTTTTTAAAGGAAGAATTTTAATAAAGATTATTGAACCATACTTATTTAAATTTAAAGTTTTTAAATTTATGAAATTTTGCTATAGTCCAAAAATATTGATTTGATATTAAATATTTGAGAGAAATAACAAAATTATTCCTCATTTAAATTAATATAAGAACTTCCATATTTCATTTGTTAATTTACTTATGAAATGTTATTCATTGTCCTACTTAACTTATTTTTATTTTAGGTGTTCAAATCATCTTAAGATAACTTGTTGGTTCTTATATTATATATTATTCATTTACTTACAAATTATTGTTCATTGCCCTACTTCACTCGCTTATTGTCAGGCTTTCACTTGATTTCATTTCAAGGTAATGAACAAGTGAAATAAAGCAATTCTGATATTAATTTAAATGAAAGATAATTTTATCATTTTTTTATAAATTTAATATCAAATTAGTACTCTTAAAATGTAGTAAAATTTCATAAATTTAAGAATTTTGACTTTAAATAAATATGGTCCAAGGGTCATTATTAAAATTTTTCCTTAAAAAAATACAAATTACGAACTTAAAACTATAGGTGGTAAATGGGCAGATATGGCTCCCACAAGGTCATGTCCAAAAATCCAGTTATCTCAAAATTGATCAATTCTTCAAGTTTGATTCTTATTAATGGGGCTTAAGCTTGGGCCTGAAAGTAATTTTCTCATATATTTTAATTCTTCATTTTCTTTACTTTTAAAAATTTAGTTTTTAAATTATAATACTCCCTTCATTTAAAAATATAAAGCATTTTTAACCGAATCTTATCTCTCAATAAAATAATTACCTACTTTCAAACTAATCCTATATTTTCATATTTATCCCTGTTAAATACACTATAATAAATTTAAAGTCACTATCAATAAAGGCATTTTTGAAAAAAAGACAGTAATTACACATTAAAGGACTAAAAATGTTTTATATTTTTAAACATTCAAATTTTTAAAAAATAGTTTATATTTTTGAACAGAGGGAGTATTATATATTCATTCTTAAAATACAAATTAAAATGTTTAGAAATTAAAAAGAAGTAATGAAAATTCTAATTTCAAAATGCAAACACATTCTAAAGTTTAAATTTAATCTAAAAAATTTATTTTTTTAAAAATAAAAAACGAGCTTAAATAAATAGTCTGAAATTAAGCCAATTTTTTACAGCTTAAATAAGTCAGTATTAGAAACTTTTTTGTACAGAAATACTTCAATTTTTAAAACTTGAAACCTAAAAAGGAACTCAAACGGGTAGCTTAATAAGTCTAGCCCATAGCTGGAGGAGTGTACGTAAAACCAAAAAGTGTCAATGTTTTAGCCCAAAAAAAAAAAAAAAAACAACATGTTTTAAAGTTCTCACCAAACAAGCTTGAAGACTTGACTTGCCTTAAACTTGACGTTTGCTTATAACAAGCTTACTGAGCATATGCACATCATCGTGAGTAAGGATTTTGCTAAAACCTGACTAATAAGTAATAACGATGGTTTCTGAGTCACACAGTGCAGTCTTGCAATGGATAAGATTGGATACTTTGCTAGTGATTTTGTTACTAGGAAAGTCAAGTCTTAAATAATATGAACTAAATTTAATTGACATAATTTAAAATAAAATAAACTCGAGTCTGTGTTGATAAAATTGATGTGACAGGAAATTATTCAAACTGAAAGGAGCTTAATTAACCCATTTAATTAGGACCCCTATTTTATTCATTTCAAGTAATAAATATACTAGATGTTCATCAAATAGTTGACTCCTTAAAAAGGGGTGGGATAACTAATATGGATGATATTATATATCATCAATATGATAAACTGAATGAGAAATTATCAAGCAAATCAAATGTGTCATGTCAATTACGATTTGTCCTATAGAAATGTGAAATTCAAATAACATTAAATATAAATTAATTATAACAGTAGTAACAGTATAAAGAAAAATGTAATAAATTAAATATGTATTTTATTAAAAGAATAAAATTAATTAAAATAATGTTACAAAAAATTTTATTTAAATAACTTAAAATATTTTAATTAAACAGATTACAAATGATATGGGGCATGTTATTTGTTTAAAAATTTCTTTAAATTATACTAATGACCATGGTGATTATGTTTTTTATAAAATTTATAAAAGTTAATGGTTCATAATTCGGACTTGGATAACTTGAAGTAATTTCATATCAAAAGAGATAACTTAAAGTAATTTACAATTTTTCGGCCAGAAAAAGTAATTTATATTTTAAATAAGCTATATATATATATTCTAAACTATAATACTCCATCCTATTTTTAATACAAGAGACCTCGTAAAACTTAATCAAGCATTAATGGGTAAGTTCCAAAGATGTTCACATATCCGATTAGCTTATTTGGGTGGCTTGTTTGACTTTAAAATTTAAAGATAAATTAATAATTTTAATTCAGGGTAATTTGAGAATTTTATAAAAATTTTGAAAAATCGAGACTCTTGACTAATTTTAATTAACTACCTTTTTTAATCCACACAATTTAGTTAAAAATATATTATAAATAGGATCCAAATGATTATATATACTCCTTCATGTCCTAATTATAAGATACCTTTTACAAAAGATTGGTGATTAGTATAGGCACTTGATTGGGTATTAATTACATTTTATTAATATTAGCTCTATTTAAACTAATTAACTATGAGAAAGGATATAATGCAAGTTTCAATTTTTTTATCTAAATATATGTAAAATTGAAAGTTTATTTTTAAAAAATATAGTTAGTGACTTAACTATCTCTCCTTGATCCTCGTCCAAATAAATACAGTGATGTGAAAATAGGACAGTTTGACTGA